CACACACACACACACACACACACACACACACACACACACACACACACACACACACACACATACTACACATACACATATATATATAGTACCCAATTACAGATTTCAGGAGTTTTATGCTAGTGGATCGTTGACTGAAACCACCTATACAAGCCTTGAAAATAAATAATAAATAAACGATAAGATATGAGTTTATGTATTTACAAACCAAGTTATTTGTGATTTATTTACTAAAATGATAAACTTTATCATGATTGTAAACCAATTGTGTACAATGGCAAGCAGCTCTCTATTCAATTCAAAGTTCATGAAAGCAAGCACTCTCCAGTTTCTGACCTCATATGATGCTCTTTTCTTGTTCTTCTTCTGGGGTTCCAGAACAATGAAATATTTTACACATGGCAATTCATTAAAGTTAAAGGATTCTCAAACTTTGCAATACCATAATCCCTTGAATGATAAACAAATTTGTTCAACCTCAGTCATGAGCTAAAACAATGTGTTAAATAAAACTCTTTTGATTGATGTATGCCTTTTCCAGATTATTAGATTCTCAGGTTTTGTCATCTTCCCAATGATACCTGGGCCTTTTCTTCCGACTTTACCTGTGCAAATCTTTAAAAAAAATATGCCCCCCTTCCAAGTTGCTTGAGACGCCTGTGGGACTGCATTTGAGTTGAGAACTTATATATTAAGAGAATAACAAGTGAACCAGATTGCCAGTAAAATCAGTGCAGTTGTTCTTCATTATATCAAGGTCACATCCTGTTTACTACCGCATGCAAACACAATGCAGTGCTGTCAAAATATTATCCATACTAGTCTCACATAAAATGTAAATATGGTGTAAACTCCATTTTATCATCATATAAAATAGATATAATGCAAGATGAATTTAAACAGATTTCAATATAATATACTGGAAAACTAGCAAAAGTTATCTATGGAGATTCTCAATCATCCAGATCATGGTTACCCAAAGGTGCTTTTCAAAAGGCAACTGGATTTTCTTGGTTTCTACCACACAGTCCCTTCAGCAGTCCCAAGAAGATTCACACCCATTTTCACGCTGATTCAGGTCATCCGGTGGGTACAAGTAAATCCCTAAGTGGCCTCAACAACTCTTAAGAGTACTAACAACCAGATGACAGCAAAGAATATAAATTCTTCTATTCCCACCATTCAGTCCGAACTGAAGAGCTTCTAGGACGAGAAGTGAAATGTTTTTACTGGAGGTGGGGGGGCGGCACCCAAGAAAGTTCAGTTGCCTTTTGAAAGGCACCTTTGGGATAGCAAAAATTATGTTTCAATGTCTTTGACACCATATTCAATACATGCCCCATCTATATTTCATTATTTTCTTTCAATTTCAATCAAAAGGATATTAAATTTAAACTTTATATTTTTAATCGAGAATTCTAAAGAGATTCTTATATGAAGGAAGGAAAAGGCCAGACAGTATTGGTTTCATTTAATGAGTCTAAAAATTACAAGGCACTGTTTGAAAGGTGACATTTTGCTATGTCAAGCTGGATATCAAGAAGACCATTCCAAGATAGCCCAAGGGTACAGATTTTACAACACAGTCTCACTCTTTTATGCATAATAGCACGGTGATACCAAAAGATCTGTAAGGACAAGCAGCTGGTCATCAGTGAATTGTTGCTTATGTTGCTGCCAGTTATCATGGTGAGTTCTCCGGAAATTGGACAATGTTTTTTTTACAGTCATCTGTGTCGAGAAAAACAGAGAGAGATCTAGGCAATGTATTTAAAACAACTATAAACTGTCTTGTTCTTAAGGCTATGATTCAGCTTTGTAAGTGTAAATATATTATTCAGAATTTTACTCAAATGTTTCAGGTTATAGAGTAAAACTACCAATCAATAATTTCAAGAGAGTTTGAAATACTTACTACTGTTACCCTAAACTTGAAAAGAAACATTATTTATATATAGTGATTTAAGAATTGTGTATATTAGCTCATATATTTCTTTTTATTCTATTCAATGAATTGTTAAATGTGTAGTTTAATTGTACAAAAGTTTAACAGATATGTACAACTACATATTTCTGTTTACTACTGTGTTGTTTTATGTAGAGGATTATTCTTATTCTTCACCCCCCCCCCTTTTTTTGCCTAAAATAAAACTAAGAGATTATTATTAGTATCAAACCAAACTGGCTCTTTGGTTTGGTTATCTTTGTTAACTAGCTAAAAAGCAAAAAACAAAACAAAATCTTTAAAAAGTATTATTGAATAATTTCTTTTTTGATCTTTATTATTAACATTTGGTTAAAACAAAACAACCCAAATAGCCAGTACCTATAACAGAAATTTTCTAAGCACTAGACTAAACAGCTTCTTCTCAAAAAGGAAGTCATTTAAGAGACCAAGCTTCAGCATAAGAATTCCAATGATTGATCAAATGAATCATACCTCAATAGGCTGAGGATCATTCAGATGCGCACTAAGATCCATCAAAAGTTGAGGCATCCACGTGGGCACATCATAAGGACTGGACAAAATACACGCACTAAGTCCAAGCACACCAGCATGGCGTTTAACTAAATCTGCAAAAAAAAAGTTGGTAATTCTTCCATGGGGCAGCACAGGAGTCTTCAATTGGCACAAATAAGAGATAAGCTCCTTCTATCTATGGGAAAAGGGTATGGAAGAGTGGATTTTTTTCTTCCTTCTGAAGCCCTTTAAACCACTGTCATGCATACACATTTACATGGTTTTCTTTAAATTTCATTGAGCAGATTTTTGGGACTACAAAGGGATGCAAAGAGAAGGTCATAAATCACAATTATAGAACTGTAAGGGGCTGCAACCTTTATAAATGTGAGCTGCTTGCAAATTACCCAATATAATCATGTGGTTAACTTTGAGGATAAGCCATTAGTCACTTTTCTGAGGCCATCACAACTTCAAACCATGGTTAAATGAATGGTTGTAAATAGAAGTCTACCTGTAATTTCTAAAACATAGGTTAAATGATGCATTTAAAATTATTGCAATCTAATCTAATGCAGATGTACTGCATTGCCTGAAATATGCAATTTCTGCCACAAGATTCAGTTCCCTTGCAGAATCCACTCTTCTTTTGTGGTTTCACCTAAATTCAATGCCGCTCAGTCATGTCAACTGTCATTCTGAGTTTCCATTATTTAGGGAGCTTTAGATTGCTCCCTGTTTCCCAATGACAATCTCTAATGCAGGTCCCTATTTCCTGTGAACTAGACTGCATTGTATGTCAGAAATAACTGGCTGTTTCACTTTTAGAAGAACAGATACTTTTCAAATGTTATGCACAGAAAGGTAGAAAATAAGTAAATCAGAAAACTGAGGTAAGATTCCTCTAACAAATCCATTCAGCATGATTTACATCTTCCTGAAGCACCTTCACCTTACCTGCAGGGGGAATGGTATCCACTACAGTACTGAGGTCTCGTTTTCTTCTCTTTGGAAGTCTCATTTTACAGAGCTGCTCAAAATGAGTCTGCATAGGGGTATCAATCTCCAGGAAGTGGCACTGGAGCAAACCACCCAAAGTGGTAGCAGCCATCTCTCTCACCTAGGATCAAATAATAGCATCAGTAATACCAATAAGGGCAGTCCACTTTCCACTATACTCTAAATCAGTAGTTCTCAACTTTAGCAACTTTAAGAGATGTGGGCTTCTATTCTGAGAATTCTCCAATAGCTGGATTGCTGGGGAATTCTGGAAGTTGACATTAATTTAGCAAATCTTAAAGTTGCTAAAACTGAAAAACACTATTGTAAATGTGAGAAAGATGGTGACAGTGTATAGCCTGGCATTATCACATGTGCACTTTGTGTACATGTCATTTGCAAAATCAGTGTTCACTGTACTAAGCAGTAAGATTCTGAAGTTTCTCTTCATGAGACAATTTCCCTTCATGAGACAGTAACCTCAGGAACACAAGGAGAGTTTCATTTCCAGTGAATAGAAAAAGTTATTATGTTAAACATAGAATAGGGTTGGAAGGGACCTTGATGGTTTTCTAATCCAACCATCTGCCCATGGCAGGAGACCAATGGCAGCAATTAGGATCTTAGCATTTAGTTGGACAAGGTCTGGATTTGTAATTCTGATCAGATACACAGGGCAAAGTTGTGGCATGGCCTGTTGAACCCATGTGTTGAAAAGAATAAACAGCCCGTGGTTTTTACTCTACCTACAGTAACACATGAATATTTCTAGCACTGTGATGTCTTTTGAACGATCCCATAGTAGCTGATGAACACAGAAAGTTTGTTGCATACTGGCTTTTGTTTGACTATGATTATTATTGTGGCATTAAAATGGCATTACAGAACACATAATTATTATGGAAAATAAAATAAAAAGGAGATTTTCAAAAACTTAACAGACACTAATCTACATTATCTGTTTTCTCAAAGGACCTTTATGTGGCTTCTTCAGCCTTTCAGTAACCTAGTGCCAGTGAACTCTAGGAGAGTTCTTGAGATAAGAATTTTAAGTATACTTTAGTTTATCAAGATATTGTAACTTATTCCATTGCTTAACAATATATTAAAGGTTTAGAAACACAGGCAGTTGGTCAATCTTTGACTAAATGATAAAACCAAGCCATTTGAATAATGTCTCATCAGAATCAGAAATTTTTAATTGTACTGCCTCTCTTTGAAATACGTTTCAATGTTCTGTTCAGCAAATTATAAAATTATATTCTTGAACATAATCCACTTAAATTCCATAGAACCAAAATTAAAAACCCTATAATGAATTACCAGAAATTAACTGGCTCCTGAAATCTATTTCTTGTACTAATATTGTAATGTTAAGTATGAATTACAAGGCTTCTGAAATGAAGAAGATATTATACAGCTTATTAGCATATTTCTGATGCTAACAGTTGAATTGCTAACTTCCAGGAATACTTGACAATGGAGTAAACACAGACTTATTTTAATATCTTCTGCCTCAAGGAAGATCAACTGCTTGAGTTCCTTTCCTGATAGTATTACATTTTCTCTAAATTTTCCCCTTTTCAGGAAAGATGGCTGGCCCATTTGTAGCTCTGGATTGAAATGAGGGGTCATTAGTGTTCTCTGAGTTTGGTTCTTTTCTTGTCGATGTTTCATTACTCAAAGTAGGTAACATTATCAGTGCTTTTTGTTTGTAAATGTTGGGGGTTTTAATTTCTGTTTACCACTCAGAGTCACTTCAGTAAAATGGGTAGCCATATAAATTATATAAATAAATAATTTAAGAAAGAATGTATTTTTTAAAACAGATATTCGTCAACTTATGACCATACATTCAGTGACCATTCAAACTTACAATGGTGCTGAAAAAAATGGAATTACAAACTATATCTGAATTTAGGGCTATTGCCCTCAGAGTTATGTGAACAAAACTTGGATTCTTGGCAGTCAACCTACCCTTACAATCGTACAGGTGCATTTCAGCTTAGTCCCAACTGCAACTGCGCCTGCCAACCTGTATTCCTACATTCTGCCACCCCAGCTCACCTTCACCATTTTCTTCCTCTCAGTGCTGATAAGTCATGCTGTGGGGAGCCAAAAGCAGTCCCTGAGCAGCAGCACACTGAAACATCCATTTGCAAAATGCTCCTGGAGTGCACTGTGCAAAAATGCCCTCTTTTCCATACTCATAAAAACTAGCCCCAGACTGAGAGTGGAAAACAAATGGGAAGAGGACAATAAAAATGTAACTTGAAAGCAAATGGGAAACCAGGTGGATTTTGGCTGGGTAAGAGTTAATCTCCAACATGCTTCTCTTGCCTGTGGTTGTGCTCTATTTCCTTGTCTTCTGGATACAACCTCATAAAGGATAAAGTGGCAGGCTGGAGAAATTCAAAGCATGGGAAAGTATAAATCCTTGGCATGAGGAGTGAACAAAATGAATAGATGCCAATGTTAGCTCAGCTGATTGAAGGGTAAAGTGCTCTGAAGTAAACTTTTCCAGACCAATGTAGGGCTGCGGGTAGGATGGAAGGTGCACAAAACAGAATTTGTTTTAGTTTGGAAAATGGTTATGGCTGCTTGTTCCTCTTCTAATAGCTGAAGAATCAGGGCAGTGATAGCTGGCTCAACAGAGACTGATTGAATAGTGTGTGGGCAGGGCAATCATCCCAAAGGAGCATTTCAGGGTTCTGCACTCCAGAAGATTTTTGCAAAAAGGCATTTTGGCACACTGTTATTCAGGAACTACTTTCAACTTTCTTTTTCCACAGCCGAAGCTCAACCCAGGCTGGACAAACCTTATTAGCAGAGGGAGCAAAAAACGGCAAAAGTGAACTAGGCTGATGAAGCAGCGGATGGGCAAGATCTCAGAGTGCAGAGGGTAAGGGCGACTGCAGCTAGGACTGGGCTTTGGATGACTAGAACTTTCATGGGCATGGTAAGCAACCCCAGAGCCACATGGTTGTGGGACTGTTTGGTACCCTGCAAGCCAGGATGCAGGCAACCAAAGGGTAGAGGATAGGCACACAAGGGACTTGAAGACAGTCCTTACTGAAGCTCAAGGCTGGGACAGACTAAGCCTGGAATGGCTTAGATTGGGATAGGGTAGATTTTACTTAATGACTTGCAATTCTTAATTAACCACCACAATAGGGAGTGTTTGTCATTTTAAGTCTCATGGCCTTGCTTTTACAATGGCATCAACTTATGATGGCAATCTCGGTCCCAATTGTGGTTGTTATGTCGAGGACTACCTGAACACATTAATGCTTACACAAAGGATCCAGGTACAGAGATAGGCTGCCATCTTGGTGCAATTCTACAAATTACATATAAATCCAACAAGGAAATATAATGTAGAAGATGCTTTATCACAGCATTTAGAAATGTGGTATGGTTCTAAGGTCCAGATAACATAGCAAGAGAGCAGCAGCTTTGATTTAGAGAGTATTACCTAGCTTTCCCTAGGGTAACTTTTTTTTAATGCATCTTTACATTTGGAATAAAGATTATTCAGATTAAAGACAACATGCCAACTAAAGTTTACTGTTTATGAAATTTAAATATCAATAGATCTCTCTGAAAGTCTTTTTTGCTCTCAAATATAAGTGTGCATTTACATTATTACTCAGTCATCTAAAATTCAAATATCTGAGAAAGTGACTGAAAAGATGGCTTCCAAAAACTATTCTAAGTGAATAGATTTAACTTCAAAATGTAAAAGCCCAATTAAATGGATGGGTAAGTGGCAAAGATCAGCCTAGGAAGGATTTACACCCTACAATTGCAACAAAAACCTCTAATTTATATACAAAATAACAGAGACACAATACAAGGGTAGTGAATCATCATCCTATTAAATCTTGCCTAAAAAGAAAGAAAAACAAATTACAACCTCTGCAATACAGGGGTTTCTATGGCAATATGATTATTAAGATGTTACACAAAAGCAAGTATTTTGACAATTTTACATTTATTTCAAGAATTTACCATGCCCCTAATGGGCAGATTAGGCTGTCAAATTTGTACTAGTGGTTGTCTCTGCACAGAAATGGGGAATGAACACAGGCAGTCCCTGCTTAATAACCCTAATTTGAACCAGAATTTCCAGTGCTAAGTGAAGGTGCAACCTTGTTAGGTGAAACATTATATGCCTACACTACTTAGTAATGGCAGTTCCAGTAGTCACAGTTGTAATCATTAGACCAGATCATGCTGTCATTAGGCAAAGATCTCACGCTTCTTGGGTCCTGTCCTGCTCACTTCTGCTTCAGTTCCCCCAACTTCCTTATCTCTACTCCATCTCTGCCAATTTGTCTGCCTTGCACTCTGCCACTACTGCCCACAGCTGAAAGTCTTCTTCCTCCTGCTGGCCCAGACTCCAGGTACTGGTAAGAGTTCAGTCTCGGGAGGCATGTGGCAACACAGCAGCATGATGAAGTCTGGTCTGCTGAAGGGGACTTGCTGGGCCTGATCAGGGAGGTGGGAGCAGGAATGGAATCAGAGGAAGAGCCTTGTTTTCCAACGCTAGGGCAAGGAGAATAGCCTACAAGGCCTTTAAAGTATAGCTTTTCATCTCACATTGGACGCAATTCTAGAGAATCAGCCTGCACGTTTCAGCAATGGGTGGAAGCAAGCCTAGCAGCCATAGGAGGCTATCTGCTTGCTTGGCCCAACATTCCTCCTGGAAAGCCTCAAGAAGGATCAGTTCTCCAGGAGCACTTCCAACACAAACTGCAGAGATTCCCTGCTAGGACGTGCTCATTTCTCTGTTTCCTCCAGTTCTGCCATGACCCCACACAGTCCTACACAGTCCTGCTTCTCATGGCAATGGCGTATGCTGCATATCACTGGTCTGATAAGCCCTCCATGGTCTGCAGGCTATCACTCCTCATGCTGATGGCAGAAACAGGGCATTTTCCCCTGCAATGCCACTCTGCCTCTACCACCTGTTTCATTCTGCTGCCTCCTCACCAACTGAGCCCTGCAAGCTTCTTTCAATAGATGAGGTTCTGCCGAGTTTGCCAGGCACATCATGGGGCTGTACCCCCAACCAACACATGAATCCTAGACCAGCAAGAGGAGGAAGGAGAAAATGGTGACGGTCAGGTGACGGTCAATGCCAGGGGAAAGCAGGGTTGGCAGAGGATTGCATGGCAGTCAAAATGGGAATGATATGGATGAGTGATAGGTGGAGATACTGAAGTGCCCCTGGGGTTGTAAATACAGGTGGGCTGCCAAGCAGTTAAAATTTGATTACATGACTGGGGCACTGAAATGGCTGTAACTTCAAGAACAGACTATAATTACCATTCATTTAGCACTGCCATAACTTCAAACTTTTGCTAAACAATTGGTTAAGTGAGGACACTTCTAAATAAAGATAAAAGAGAGAAAATTGCTCTCTTTTATTTATGAATGTTTTAAATGGTAGCTTCAGGAACCTGCCTGATTATGTAGCACTGAAATAAGAACTGAATATTTCAAATTTTAATGTTACTTATAAATTCGGTTCTTTTCCAAACATCTGGCATCCATAAAGTATTATATGGCCCTACATTGATAGCTATTAACACTATGTCAGAAACAGTAGTGTTATTATTACAGTGACAAAATTAGGCACAATTGTAAAACAGGATAAAAATATGGAAAAATAAAACTTTTACATCAGTTTGAATAACAGGCATGACAAAAGGACCTGAATTATTGAACCAATTTCTTATTATTGACACTTGCACAGAAGATCTTGCATTAGTGTGGCACTAACACTCCTATTTTATTTCCAACAGAGCTTTCTCATTGCTAGTTAAGACTAAATATTAAGTGGAAAATCCACAATAAAATTAATCTTGCAAACTCAAGGCAGCTGAAGGTTGGCTTGCAGTATAAACAATATATCAGGATGGCAAAATCAGATTCAGGCCTCTAATGAGATCAGTTCCGCTTCTCATCTTCAAAAGGAATCTTCTACACATCTGGGCACAAAGAAGTAGCATCCTTATGAATTTTGACTGCGTCCTTTTAGAAGGGACTACATTGAGAAAACTGTTACATCTCCAATATCTATTTCATACAACATTTTATTATCTGGTATCAGCAGGTGGAATGTGATAAGCAAGGGTATTTCATCTAACTATATAATAATTAAGTAGTATTTGGTACTAGTACAAAGCAAAGCCTATCAGAGTATAATATATGCTCAGTATATACCATATAAGAGTTTAATAATATACGTAGTGATAAGCATCTTTAGCCTCTGTTTTCAATTCTCACTAGGTTAAATATATATTTCTTTTAAGAGTACTCACAAAAACATTTTCTTAAAATCTAAAACTTAATGGATCATTAAGGAATAAATGTGTGGAAAACTTACTGAGCAATGGAAAGGTTACTAGTTAAAATTGTGATGAATAATCATTTAGGAAGAACAATAATAAGAAAATATTAGAATACTATAGCAAATTGCCATGGACTGTGTTTAATTTGTTTACCAATCACACATATCATGTCCAAGTCTATGGTTCCACATTTATTCTACAAATAATATTTTCACAAAATGTCAAAAAAAAAGTAGGAGTACAAGAATGTATTCACCTCAAGCTGTTCGTCTTCTAATAGTTTTATAACCAGCCATCTGATGTTGTTCACAGCTTCTTCATTGTTTAAGAAGATAAAAAGATTATAAAATACCATAGTCTGGAGGTAGGTTAGCACAGTATATCTAGCATGCCAGGAATTACTCTTTGCAATCTACAAAAAGATAAAAAGAAGAGATCAAAATAATAGAACCACAGAAATCAGAAAAATAAACTAGAATAAAACCTAAATCAAAGTACATGTTGATCATGTATGTTGATCACGTATGCAGAAAACTTTTCCAAAATTATATTTCAGAATTCATATATAATAGTTGGTGGTTTTTAAACATTTTGTAGTTAATATGCTTGAAATTCCAAACAATTTTTCATCTCACAGATTACTGCTAATCTCTCTCTCCTCTACTTGTTTTCCCTTCCCTCTCAAAGACTAAGTGTAACCTTCAACATGAAAACAATTGCACACCTCTGTTCTACAATGTCAGTCCTTAACCTGCTACAGTGTAAGAAGTACATCCCCCAAACATATAAATTACAATTTGCTTTGTCTTTCAACATATTTTCCCCTCCTTTGGCCAGGCTGAAATTGTTAAGAAAAATTGCTTATACAAGTAGCCCACACTTACAAACTGCAATTGGAACTGGCAACTTCACTGCTAAGCGATGCAGTGATAAAGTGATATATCATATTACCACAATGTCTTATAATGTCAATACTGGCTGCAGTCATTCAGTGAATCACCCATGGTCATTAAGTATAACATCAGGTGACTGTGACTCATGACTTTCTGTCAGCTTCCCCATTGACTGGTTTTCAGAAGCTAGCTGTGAAGGTCACAAATGATGAACATGTGACCGTGGAATCAACGACAGTTGCCATGCACCAGAATTGTGAGCACATTACTGTGGAGTCTTAAATTTCCTTTTTCAGTAGAGTCCGAACTTCAACTGGTTGCTGAAAGAGCAGTTAGTAAGCAAGGACTATCTGTATCCCTTAAAATTAGACTTATTAGATAGGTCTGTTCCCAAAAACTAGGGGGCTCTGAGGTCCCTGAAATTTTTCCTGTGGATCTGATTGGATGAGGTGAAATGATGCTTTGGCCATATCCTAGAATGGGCAAATAATAGAATGGATAAATTAGGCTGGATTGCTCCTATATGGCCTCTCGCTGTGTGTTGATTCTGGATTCTTGGTCTTCTGCGGAAGTACAGAGACGTGAAATGCAAGAAGAGATGCCTAGAGTGTTGTTGGAGAAAACTGAAGAGCAAATCCAACTGAACACAAGAACCATTTTTGGGATTACATCATGGCAACCTGAATAGCAAAGCATGATTCCTTTTCCAGTCTTATCACACCTGTGATAAGTAGTTGTCTAAGGGTTTGTTTAAAATAACCTATTTCCTGCTGCTAAGGACAGCCGTTTTCACAAAACAGAGATTTGACTTCAATAGGACATGTTTGTCCATTATTATAATTCAACTAAATGAATTGTTTCATTCCTGTCAGAAAAGTTTAATAATTTTACATTGGGTTACTCATGTGAATATGATAGAATTCTTTATTGGCCAAGTGTGATTGGACACACAAGGAATTATATTATAATTATATTATTATTATTATATAATATGTCCCAAACTATTCATTGAGTTACAATCTCATTATGACAGGGATCCTATGAAGTCAGACAAGATGATTTGGGCTATAGATGGTCTCTATTTTTGTATAGCTAGCTGAAATGCACTAAAACCAGAGGTGGGTTCCTACCGGTTCTGACTGGTTCGGCTGAGTAGGTAGTAACTTGGCTGGCCACATCCCCCAACTGGTTCTATCGGTGGCGCCTTGTTTTTTTAGTACTGTGCATGTGCGAGTAGCACGCATCAAGCGTGCCGCATGGAAGCACGTCCCTGAGCGAACTGGCAGTAACAGAAACTGGAACCCACCCCTGACTAAAACCCATAGAATTTATGCCATAGATATGTTTTCCCTGTACAATATTCAATACAATATTCTATTATAATTCAGATATCAATAAAAACTATTTTTTGCAGTCTCTTGTGTATTTAGATCAAATATATTTGCTAATGTTTTTTAAGCACTGATATTAAAAAAATCTACTAACACAAGATTAAATATATTTAATTATGCTGTTTAAAAATATTAGTTTAAAAAGCATCACATACTTGTTTTAGCACCTGAAGTACCAAAGGCACTTGTTGAGGATATAGCAATCCCTGAGACATTAATGATAAGCACATTTTAGCATCTCTCTTCAATTCATCATAGCTATGATCATTTTCTACAGGCGCAATCTGTGGAAACAAGTAGATGAAAGATTAGTAACAACTAAGTCTTGATCCTTAAAACTGAATTAATGCAAGACACATTGGGAAACTGCAATTTAATCTCTCTAAGAAAACTAATATAATTAATACAGAAGCGAAAACTCCTAAAATGCTATACAGGTAGTCCTCAACTTACAACCACAATTCAGCCCAAAATTTCTGTTGCTAAGCAAGACAGTTGTTAAGTCATTTTGCCCCATTTTATGACTTTTCTTGACACAGTTGTTAAGTGAATTATTGCAGTGAATTTAAAAACTGGTTATTAATTGAATCTGGCCTGCAGAAGATTGCAAAAGGTAATCTCATGACCCCGAAACACTGCAACTGTCATAAATATGAGTTGATTGCCAAGTATGTGAATTTTAATCATATGACCATGGGAATGCTGCAATGATTGTAAGCATGGAAAACAATCCTGTCACTTTTTTCAGTGCCGTTGTAATTTTGAATGGTTACTAAATGAACTGTTCTAAATCAAGGACTAGCGATACTAGGATGGATTAAAATATACAATATTTGTGCAATATGCAGAAAGAAATTCAAACTATTATGTCATTAAAATAGAGCTAAAAAGCTTTTAACTATAGTGACTCTAAATAGTTAATTCACACAGGTATCCATCAATATGAAAATATCCAATCAAAATCTGGAAACTCATAATTACATGAGAAGAGATTTAAAAAGAAAGGCTATACTAATAGGTACCAGAAAAACACCTTATTTCAGACATGCATTCTCAAATATTATATTTTTATTGTGTCTGGGATGTTTTGAAATTTCCATAGTAAGCAACATTTTTGCATAGACTTGAAACTAAAACCAGATGTGAGCAGGACTTGTAACAGCTAGAAGTCTACATCCTAAAGTGGCAATCTTTAAAAGATTTCCCTGCAGTGTTTTCAAAGGTTATGGATCAAATGAATAAGCAAATATTTAGACAAAATGGCAACCAATTCAAACATTTAATGTAATTTGTGTAATGGATTGTCTATGTGGCTTGGCTTTCTGTACATGCTATTTGTTTAAATGAAGCCTCATTCATACATTATTAAAATGTTAAGTGTTACTGAGAAATCACCCTTATCACCTAAACAGATGAAGCTATACATTAAATTACATACCTTGAAAAACAATGGCAAAAGCAGGAGCTGCTCTGTAACAGCTGTAGAAAAAGCTCTCCCTGCACTTGCCATCAACCACTTTAGAACTGCCAAGTAAAAAGAAAGACAAGCACACATCTCAATTCAAAGACAAAGAACAAAATACAACTTCATGTCTTCTGAACAATTTTTTCCTTTAAATGGCATTTCAGTACAAGGGAATATTTAATTAGGTTCTCACACATTTAAAGCACCTACTAGTTTTCAGTAGTTTAATGCCCTGAGTTCGTTCATCTTCCTCTCCAACTCCATTTTCTTCCAAAACATGATTCTGAATTTCTTCATCCACTTCCATAAGAGGTTTGAGTTTTTCAAGTATTCGAGAAGTGAAGTCATGGACACGGGGAGACTTTGTTAGTGCAGTATTTGGTAAAGAAATATCTATCATGAAGATGTATGTCAAAACACTGCATAAAACACAAGAACACACTTTTAATTTAGTTTCATGCTTTAAAGACAGAATTCAAACTAACCAAATCATTTTTCCTTATTCTTATTTCTGGAGTACATATAAACAAAATGACAATTTTCTGGGATATCTAAAGATTGGTAAATATCTGATATAGTATAGTCTTAATACTAACCTTCCTATTCTCTCTCTGACATTTTTATAAACTTGGGTGAGCTTAGGCTCTAGGTATTTCAGCAATCTGTGCAGCAGTTCTGGCACTCGCCATTCTTGTTGTGCAAGGCCCCCTTGCAAAACATACAGACGACTAGAAGATAAAAAGAAGAAAAAGTTAGTGAAGTGATGATGCCTTCAAAAGTGGACTTCCATCTTTTGCAAAGATAAGGCAAATTCAAATCCAAATTCCTTACCCTGCTCTTGTTCATAAAAGACAGACATTCTATGTTTAGCTAGCTAAGAATGAGCTAATTAGCCACTAAGCCATGTATTTTTTAAAAAGTTGATCATATCGGAACTTACATCAAGCAAATTAACTATTCAATTTTGAGTTATAACCTGTATTAGTATTTATCTTGTACATAGCAGTTTAATGTTTTACATGTACATATAAGTGTAAATGCATAGAACTCTGTCACTGTAGTGTACACTTAAAGGAAGAAATCTCCATCTCCTGATATAACAGTGACTGTAAATGCTTAACTATCTGAAAAGTTTTGCTGATTTTTATCAACTATACTCAGATGGTGACCAAGAGATACAAATATAAAGACATCAGGACCAGTGGGTGTCAACAACTTTTGCTTAAAATGTTTCTAAGCAAATCAGTTTTAAGCATATTTTCCATAGCCACCTAAATAGTGTGCTCTAATCACTTATCACAGAATAAGAGAGTCAAAAAGGACCTTGGAGGTCTTTATATTTGTATCTCT